TGAATCCTGAATAAAGTCCCCAAGTCAATCTTTGCTTTATGAGGGGAAATATCTATCATCAGTCTTATCCTTGGTTATCTGATCCAAAGTTCATTCCATTAACCCAAATTAATGAAGTACAACAAAATAGCCCGGCTGTATCCTCCAATCCCTCATTTTTATGGAAGCAGATAAAAAAACTGATAGAATAATAATAAAATAAAATTAGATGAAATGGGGAAACAATTATGAAAGAGTGAATGGAGCAAAATACCAAACGGGATCTTGGCTGGCTGGCATTCTTCCTTGGGACTCTTTTGCCACTCCCTCCCCCTTTTTGCAGGCTATAATTTAGGGAGAAGCAGTGGATGGGCACAGAAGGAAAAATTTCTACCTGATATCTCAGGTGTCTGGATTGGGTATCTTCATTGGAGCTATTATCAAATGTGGAAGCTGGTGTTTGAATTTAGAAAGGCTTAACGTGCCATGACCATTTGGAAAGGACCACTCTTGTCAATGACCAGCTTCATTTCCTATCATGTCTAAGGACAGGAGGCGCAATACACAGTCCTAATTCATTCATTCTTTCTCTCTCTCTCTCTCTTTCACTCTCTCTCTCCTCTTTCTCTTTCCCCCTCCCCCTCCTTCCTCTCCCTCTCTCTCTTCCTTCTTGCAGGAAGCAAAATCTTCCTTTGGATTTTTTCTGACAGCCAACCAAGTTATTTAAGAAGACTAGTTGGACCTCATATACTTACTTTGTCTATTCCTGGCCTTTTTAGGGCATTACAAGTCATAAAATACTCTCATGCTCTCACCCATCAGATCCCTCACAGGAGATAGTAGAAAGGGGCAGTGAGTGTATATGTAAATGTGTAGGTAAACGAATAAGTACAAATGCACGATTATTCAAGAACAGGATTTTAAACCATCCTGCTCTTTGCTTCCCATGCATTTTGTGAAAAAGCAGCTCTGACTACGTATCAACAAGTCAATAGACAATGGGTGTGTCTCCTCTCGTCTCCTCTCCTCCTGTCCACTCTCCTTTCCTCTCTCTTTTCCTTTCTCTTTGCAGATTTACCTCTGCCTCCGGAACATTCCCTTCTTGATTCGCTTGCAACCTCTTCTCTTTCCTTCCGCAAAAGTTGCTCTGGCGCTGGAGGCTGCTGCTCTCCCTCCCTCCGCTTCACCGACGCCTCCAAGTCAAAATGAGCGCTGAAGGGAGGGAGGTCGTGGGGAGGAAGCTCCTTAGATACGCTGGGACGAGGCTGAACTTGAAATGGCACAGGGTCACGGCTTTTCCCGAGCAGCTGCTTGGCTGCGTCTGCCAGCGGTACCCACGGATCGCCCGAGCACTCCCCCCAGCCCCCTCAGCCAGCTCGCGTGAAGAGGCGCCAGGAACCAAAGCTGGCGAGAAAGTGGTGCCAACGCCAAGCTGGTGGGAAGATGAGCGGATGGAAGGAAAGGCTTCAGAGGCCCATCGCGATGCACCTGCTATGCCCATCAGACTAAGGGCACCCTCAGCCCCCTTTCCAAATACATCTGCTCAGCGTTAACTAACCCATCCTGGGGGATCCTTCCTGGGAAACACCCCTGGTGGCTTCACTGCCACCGTTCCAGCTTGGCTTCATTGTATGAATCCAAGTGTATTCAATAAATAACCCGTGGCTTAATGAAGTCACGTACATCCACGAACCAAATAGCAGTCTTGTTTCCTCGGTCCAGAAAATTGGGTCACTCTGGCATTAGCCAGATTTCAGTTAAGTATGCCTAAGTGCGTCCCGCGAAGACAGCCGTTGTGGGTGCCCTTCTTTCTTCGGGGGCACATTTGCTCTACTCCAAGGAAAGACACGTGAGAATGGTCCGATCCTTCTCATCCATATTTATAAGGAATGGAGTTCCATGGATGGCCATGAGGCCAGCTGCCTAGGACCGAGGTCATAAAGCTCCCTGGGCTTTGGTGAAAGGGCATGGAGCACTTCAGACATTAAAAGAGGGATCCATTTTCAGTAGAACGGTCCTCATGGTTCCACAGCTCAGGACTGCGATCTCGGAGTCTGACATTTTGCTTCCTAAATTAGAAAGATGTGCTGCAGGATTTCCACAGGACTGTGATAAATCCCCAGAATTCAATTCCCTTTACTTCCAGCGGAACGCGCATAAAAGAGAATTGCTAGTAGACAGATCCCTTATAATCCGGGGCGGATCCCAAATAGTACACGCTATCTGGAGATGAACTGTGAAGGTCGACAGGACGTCCCTTATTCCCAATTATTGCATTAGTTTCCACCAAAATTTCGGATTTCTCAAAAATTTGTTTTTCGAGTTTCAAAAAAAAAATCCATAACAATTAATGTAAATCTAAATCTAAGCCTAGCCTCCATCCATTCTACGTAAGTAGGAGGAACGAAATCGGCAATCCGATTTTGTTTTTTTGCAAAAGAAAAAAAACATGCGAATAAAATAAAATGGAATTTCAGATTAGGTAAGTAGGTCTGGGGGATCAATTTTAGCTTTTTGTGGTTTTGTGTTTCATCTGTTCTTGTGAGGCTTGAGAATCATCCATTGCAATTGATTCCTAATATGAGACTCCATGACATTTCAGCCAACGGCTACATGGAACTAAATCTCTGGTCTCGATTTGAATCCAGGTGCATGTGAAAATAGCCAGAAACAAGACCCACATTAAACATTGCGAGATCTTCTCTTTTTTGATTCAGACAAACCCATTAAGGAATATTTTTGGGAAGGCACTTTTGGCAGCGCCAACACTTCAATAACTTTCTCTCTTGAGAGTCCCCTGTCTTCCTTCAGGGGATTCTGAAAACTTTTTTCAGCACCATGGATATTTGATTCTTGTAGTTGGTTGTCCTACATGCTGAATGTTACTGTTCTAGTAGTTTTATAGTTTTATTCAGTTGTGGAAAACAAGACACAAATAAACTGAAATAAATGAATACACATGTTCATTTATTTGCATACATATTTTATTTACAACAAGACAATCTTGAAACTGCCATTTATGAATTCCAGAGACTGAAAGTCCGCGAAATTTAATTTCAGAAAATAACCTGGATTGCCTCAAATTTACCTTCCAGGTGTGTTACATTAAGCAGCTGCTGAAGCCCATATTTTTAAATATGATTTAAAACTGAAGAGAGGTACAGTATTAAGAAATGTTGCCGGGGTGGAATAGTAGCAAAGTCAGGCTCAGAGTAATCCTTGTTAAAAGTACTTGGAATAAATGAGTCTTATTAAGAAGTAAAGTGTTTGTTTCCATCTAAGTGAATGAAGATCAATTACAGATCATCAGGGTTGTATGCAAAAGTTAATTATGTCACTGATTACCTTGGTATTTTCTTTTAAGCACTACTTCATGAGCCTACTCCCTTGTTTTTAAAGACTTTCAAAAGCAGCCCACCTTATTCTGATAAAATTTAATATAGTTAAGACCAGTCCCCACACTTTTGGAAATCTGCAAAGTGGCAATAAAACTGATTCAGCTAAATTGCATTTCAAGGGTTTTACTTGCTTTTCACCAGTTCCGATCTCACCAATTTCTTATTTTATTTACTTCTAACCTTGAAGACAATTTGTTTCCTTTTTTTAATTATTTCCAGCATGCCAATATCCATAACATGCAAATCTAACTTTAACGACAGGTTAGGTTCAGTTTGTTTGTTTAAAAAGTAGGACGTTGATTTTAAAGAATTTATTTCAGATTAATTCATGATATCAATGAAATTTAAGATTGTTTCTCCCAAAGTCGATCCTGCCCTTAGTAGGAAGGCGTTCAAGGAATTCGATCCAGTTTTAATGGACTTTATGCTGTTCCAAAGAAGAGCGTGAGGGATTTCCCCCCCAGCCCACCGCCTCCAATTCTCAATGTAAGCATTAGATCCAGTCGATTTAGACGTGGCTACAGGCTGCAACTTTTAGAATAACTTTGGAACCTCTGGCACCAAATCAATTCAAACACATTTTCCTTGATTTCCAAAATCTTTAGGAAGGAGATCGAATCCGCCTAAAGGAAAGAAAGCGGCATCCCGTCCTGAGAAGCCGCCCGGAATCCTACGGGATTGGGCAGCATATAAATTTATTAAAAGTTAAAGTTAAAGTGATCGGACGTCGCGGGAAATTTAAGGACAGGACTATACGGGGTCTTTCGACCGGTTTCTAGCACAAGTTGGGGATCCGTCCATTTCGAATTATTTCGGGAGCGACGCCCTCCAGCGTCGTTTCCTCCTATGTAATTGAATTGGCTAATAATGGAATCACTTCTGATTCGGTTTGATCACGCTCGCATCCTCCCTCTTTGCTTTGACCCGGGTCGCCCACGAGATTGGACCCCCATCTAACATTGCAGAGGCTCAGCCAGCAGACAGACGCTCCCGCCTCAACCTCAGCGTCTACTGTCTTACTGGTTGAGCCTCTGAAGTTCTTAAAGTCATATTTATGTTTTATGGATATTGAGTTGTTGGATTTTAATTTCCATTATTCTTCACCAAGCCCGACATTGGAAAGGCGGATGTTGAAAACCCATCATAAGCAGAGAACACCAGATACAAGTAGCCACCGTAGTGGTTCCCTCCACCCGAGAATTAGGCTTAAAATCTCGAGCAATTTTTCAGCACTCCGGAATGCACTAATCGCATACCCGACGGCACAGGGACAGCAGCTCACCGCGGCTAAGGCGGGGCTTTTTGCTCAATGACGGGTGTTGGGTACTTTCCAACCTCCTCCTCTGCGCGCTCTCCCCGGATCCCGAGGGACTGGGAACGAGCCAAAGACAGGCGAAGGGATGGCTGACTCGCGCAGAGCCTAGTTTGCCCCCGCAGCGCCCCTACGCGGGCTGCTCATTTTTGCGCCCTCCCCCCTTGCCCCGCGCAGATGGTTTGCCCCGCTCTCCCTGGCACATATATATACCCCCCTGGCCGAAGAACCACCGCAAGCCGTCGTGGAGCTCCTCTTCGGAGGGGGCGCCTTCTGACTGGCGCCTGTCTCTGGCGTCCCGGGGTTTGGCCATGCTTACAGGCTCCGAGGAGCTGCCGGAGCGTCGGATGGATTTGAGGGAGCTGCAGCTGGAGTACCGGGCGCCGCCCCGCTCTAAGCGACGTCCCCGTAGTGAAACGTGCCCTTCGCTGGATAATTCTGAAGAGGAAGAGGAGGAGGAAGAGGACGACGACGACGAAGAAGACGACGAAGAGGACGAGGAAGACGAGGAGGCGGTGGCGAGCAAAAAGAAACGCACGAAGGGAGGCTCCGGGGCCAGAGAAGGCGGCGGGATTAAGAAGCAACCGGCGGCGGGTCGGAGCGCCAGCGGCTCGACGCCGGAATGCAAGCAGTCACAGCGCAACGCGGCGAACGCGCGCGAGCGAGCCCGCATGCGCGTGCTGAGCAAAGCTTTCTCGCGCCTGAAAACCAGCCTGCCTTGGGTGCCTCCGGACACCAAGCTCTCCAAGCTGGATACGTTGCGCCTGGCCTCCAGCTACATCGCCCACCTGCGGCAGTTGCTGCAAGAAGACTGCTATGAGAAGGGCTACGTGCATCCCGTCAACCTGGTGAGTGAGCTCGGGACCCTTATTTGTACCCTATGACTATCATTAAGTGTTGTACCTTCTTGACGAATGTATCTTGTCTTCTTATGTACACTGAGAGCATGTGCACCAAAGACAAATTCCTTGTGTTTCCAATCACACTCTATTCTATTCTATTCTATTCTATTCTATTCTATTCTTTCTTCTCTCTTCTACTCTACTCTACTCCTATTCTCTATTCTGTCTTCTCTTCTCTTCTCTTCTCTTCTCTTCTCTTCTCTTCTCTTCACAGGAGTGTCTCTGTAAGAGTAATGCTTTCCTTTTCTGATTGCTTTCATCAGTCCATAAGGAGTCTGAAATTTGGGAGGATACAGTATGTATACAGTATACCATATATGTATTCTCTATACAGTATACCTACTCTGTAGAACAGAGTTTTCAAACTTGGCAACTTTAAGACTTGTGGACTTAAACTTCCAGAATTCTCCAGCCAGCATAGTTTTCTATGCTGGAAGTTGAAGTCCACAAGTCTTAAAGTTGCCAAGTTTGGGAACATATATCAGGCTCTCCCGTTCTTAGAAACATTTGTCCTGTTTTTGCCCACATACAAGCAATATTTAATAAACTAATATCTTACTTAAAAGATACACCCAAGAATTTGAAAGATGAATGGTTCATTCACTGGTTCACTAAATTCTCAATAAATCACTGGTTTGTGGTTACACACACCATTGGTTTTATCTTTTGCATTTTTGGATTGTCTACAAGTGTTATTAACACATTCTCATGTTCCATGCATGAGAATTGGTCAGGGTGATGAGCACTGCATGTATCAAAAGGCACTTCAATTGTGTATACAAAGCTAAGGCTTTTTAAATGCCTGCCACTGTTAGAACTGTGGAATATAGGAAGTGTAATCAAGCATATTGGAGAGTTCTTAATTGAACTTGACATCATCTGGAGGGAAGCTTTCAAAGATCTTTTAAAAATGTGTTATTAAGAATTCCTTTAGATCCCTCTATGCTTGAAAAATTCTCCCTCAGCTTTTAAGTGATTGCAGTAGTTTTATTAGTAGAAGATTTTTTTTCTTTTTCTTCCTAGCATTTTTCTGCAAGTGCAGGATCTGCTTTTCCGAATCAACGAAGGGTTGATCTATTTGTTAGCAAAGCAGTTGGCTGTGAGAAACTTCCTGCAAGGAAACTTCAGATGCAAGGATCTATGGCTCTCAATTCAGTTTGCATCTAAACAGACCTAGCTGCCCTATTAGATGAGATAATCAACATTCATCTAGTTTAGTTTTCTGTTCTTTGAAATCAAATTTTTTGATTTTTATTAGTTTTTAAACTACAAAATCCAGTTCTTTTTAATTATTACTCATACAGAAATAGCATCAAATATTTGGTGATTTTATGGCTGTTATATCTTATTCAACTCTCATCATATTTTGAGATAAGAAACAATTGGGACTGTACTTAATTGTGGCTAAACTATGATGATGCATTTTACCATAACCTTTCTCTATATTTTTGTCACTTCTACTATTCCCATTTTTCCATCTGCAATCCAATATCTATTAAAAACTACAAGTGCCAAATGCACACAACATATTATTCTCTAGGCTAAAAGAATATAAGGCTATTGTAATTATTGAAAGCTCAAGTCCAGGAATATTGAAATCATTTATATGGCAGTGATCTGTTTCTGAAAATTACCAGGGTTTCTATGTCTGAACTGTATGGAATTGGACTCAACAATATTTATAGGAGATACAGGTGGCCTTCTATAAACATATCCAATTATAAATGACTGCATTTAACACATTCCAAAGAGAAACAGTTAACATCTTCATGTAAATTTGATTCCAGAAATATATCTGTCCACGTAACAGCAACATTTACATGTACATGTTTGTATTTAATGATTGCAGCAGTTTTTAAGCTGTGCAGATGTTGATTATGACATATAGCAGAAGATACTACAAAATATTTCTAATGAGATTCTGTAACTGCAGTATTTTATCAAACTAATAAAGCAAAAAATATATATTTACTTGGAGAAAGGAGAATACCTTTAATACTAAAATGCCCTCTTAAAAATATAAGCACTATTCTAGTAGAAGCATTGTCAAAATGCCTAATTTAAATGTTAGCCTTGACTATGTATATTCATTCTGTAATTTTTCACAATAACTATGGCAACTGTTGGAGAACTAAAGTTTATACAGTATTCATTTCCTGTCTCTCCTGAAGTGGCTTAGTCCACATAAATTAGGTTCTGCTGAAACAATCTTATTTGGAAAGATTCCTACTTAATGCTAAAATATGCACCAAAAGACAAATTTCTTGTGCCTCCAATCACACTTGGCCAATAAAGAATTTATTCTGTTCTGCTCTGCTCTGCTCTGCTCTGCTCTGTTCTATTCTATTCTATTCTATTCTATTCTATTCTAAACCTGGTTTCTCAGCTGCAACCATTTCACCACATTAATTTATACTATAATGAAAAAATTAGTTTGTGGAGTAAATGAAGGACAGGTGTCTTAGAAAATGTTCATTTGGATAAGCTTCTTGAAATTGCTCTATGCAAATTAAATGAATTTATACAACAAAATTATAGAATAAGAAAATGCCCTGATACCTTAAGGAATGTTTTAACTTAATAGAGTGGGTGCATTGCAAGCCCCTTGTATAAAATGATGTTAAATGCATCTGGTAAGACCTATGGAATAGAATTTCCCATAGCAGTGGCTACCCTATGGAGTAGGCACCCCACACCCAAGATATGGAGGAACCCCTATTAACCCCTCCTTGTTAAAACTGAGCTTTTCACCC